GGAGCCCACCACATTAGCGCTCCAGGTACTCAAGGCGCTAAACAAATGCTAGAGTCTCAGAGCCACAGGAGCTTCCCATGTAACACGCTTTATAGAGGAGCTTAAGGTCTAAGGTGAAAACACAGAAATATAAAAAACTGTAAAAAGTGATGAGTGGCTTGCACTTCTGAAGGCAGCAGACTCTAATCTGCCATTGCAGGAGAAGCTTGGAGTGAGCCAGGCAGGATTTTAATAACACATGGCATTTGGGGGCAGAGGCTGGAAAAGAGCATGACCACAGGGGACCACAGAATGGGCCACCTGCCTGGAATGAAAGGGGCAAGGTGGAGCAGTGTGGAGAAAGGCTGAGAGTACTCGTTTAGCACAGAGCTAGCCAATGAGCTCCTTAAAACATATCACCTGCAGGGAGAGTGTGATTTTTTTTTTTTTTAATACTTCGACGCAAAGCCCTGGCCTGGATGGGAGGATATAGAGGCAGAACCTTCTGTACTCACCAACTTCTAGCCTTTAACGAGAAATATATCACTCTTAAGATGTCCAGTCAAACTGCGAACATCAGACGAGAACACACTGCTTGTGCAGATAACAGGACTGATCATTTGAAATCAGGGCTGGCCTGTGATATAGAGAAATAAAACCTATACATATGTCTACAAGATAAAGCAGAAAGTGAGTTCCACCAGAGAGGTGCAATTAAAGGCTGCAGAGGCTGGAAAGAGAAATCGAGGGGCAGCGGTGGGTCATGAAATTGGTATAGGGCTGTCATCCAGTGGCAAGGATGCTTAATTGGCTACAAGGTGTCCTGAAGAGTGGATATTCGAGTGGTGCCATCTAGCTCCATGCTACTCAACCTGTGGACCAGCAGCGTCAGCATCCCCTGGAAACTTGTTAGAAATGCAGGCTCTCAGATCCACCCAAGCCCTGCTCCTACAGAATCTGCGTTTTCACAAGATCCCCAGTGATTCGTATGCACCACGAAGCTGGAGGTGTGCTGCTCTGGCACAGAATTCTCAACCATGGCTGCACATTAGAATTACCCGGGCAATTCTGAAACGTAGTAATGCACAAATGCAAAGTCTCCACCCCCATAGATTCTGATTTCATTGGTCTAGGCAGGACATGGGCGTTGGGGTTTTTTAAAAAACCTCAATGTGGTTCCACTGTTAGTCAAACTTTGAGAACCAGAGCTGAGAGGGAGACTATCAAGCAGGGAGAACATCCCTGAGGACCATGGAGCTTGGGTTTACATCAAGACCGACAAGATCGAGCCGGGCTGATCCAGGTCAGTGGCTGCAGGGGCAGGTCCTCTCCACAGCAAGTGGGCAGAGGGGAACAGAGGACTCAGGCTCACCGGAGAGGGGGAGAGGGTCAGTCTGCAGCTTTGATTGGGGACAACTGGGCAGAGCAGGCAGGAGTAGAAATCCAGGCATTGACTGGACCCCAGTGGTTCTTGAACTTTAGCCTGCATCAGGATCACCTGGAGGGCTTGTTAAACCTCGCCTTGTTGGTCCCACTCCCAGAATTTCTGATTTGGCCAATCTGAGATGAGGCTAAGAATCTGCGTGGGAATTTGGTGGGACCCAGGGATACAAGCTGGGGGATGGTGGACAAGTCACTTATATCTTCTTGGCCTCAATTTCCTTACTGGGAAAATGTTTGGTCCAGGTCATGGTTTCCTCACCTTTGGCACCATTGATGCCTGGGGCTTGATAACTCCTTCTTGCGAGCATCGGCCCTGCATGTTGTGAGGTGTGGAGCAGCACCCCTGGCCTCTGCCCGCTAAATGCCAGCACAACCTCCTCCCTAGTTGTGACGACAAGAATGTCTCCAGACATTGTCGTGTCCCCTGAGGAGAGCAGGTGCAAAATCACCTCCCGCTGAGAACACTGGTTTCAACATAGCTTTCCATTTTTGTTGGTTTTCTTTAATGGGCAGCAAAAGCACCTTTTCTTATTTCGTGGAAACCAGTGTCTCTCAATTATAACAAATGTGATTATTTTCAGAGCAAAACAAATCACTCTGGGAGTGTATACATTTGATGAGGAGCTGTGAGTGGCTGGCACAGCGCTCCTTTGGCAGCAGGTGGTTTGGGGAAGTGGCTAAAAGTAAGTGCTTTGGCACCAGATTGCCTGGTTTTTAACTCGCGTTGCCCCACTTAGCAACTGTTAGACATCTGGCAAGTTTCCCTTTTTCTTTTAACTTTTTATTTTGAACCAGTTTTAGATTTACAGGAAACTTGCAAAAACAGTATAGAGAGTTCCCACACATCCCTCCGCTCGCCTCCCCTAAGGGCAACATCTTAACTAACTGCAATCGACCGTCTTAACTGCCTTCTGCCTCAGTTTCCTCTTCCAAAAATCTACTCATTTCATACAGCTGTTGAGAGGACTGAATGGGATAATTCATGCAAAATACTCAGAATAGTGCCTGGTACTTATCAAGTGCTCAATAAATGTCAGTTATTATTTTGTTGTTATTCCTTGTGGCTTTAAAATATCCCCAAACGGTGAGTCTTCAGTGGAGAAACAAACCCCCATGAGCGAGGAGTGTGGCAGCCTTAGGTATCAGTCTGTGCCCGCCTGTGTGTGCACCTTGCAGTTTAATCCACACGACCCCAGTCCACCTGCTTCTCCCACTGGCATACTGAAGGACTCCTGGACTTTTCCAGGCCCTGGACTGTGTCAGGACCTCCTGGACACCGACCATGGTTACACTCTAATGTCTTGTTCCATGGACCTCAGTTGCTGTGAAGGTGGTGAGGAAATGCCAGGCAGGCGGGCTCCTGCCCTGTCCAACCCAGGCTACCAGCACCCGTTATTAGCGCTGATGCTGCCATGTTAACTGCATCCTTGTGTCTGTTCAACACTCTCCCTCAAGGGCCCCTTATAGAATTTTACACAAAAGCACAGATGCCGTCAATCCTACGGCGCATCAGAAATTCTCGCTGAGCCTGAGGTTTCTGGTCCTTGATGTTGCAGGAGGGAATGCTGAGTCAGAACGAACAGCAGAAGGGGGCCTGGGCTCTCGCCCTAGCCTTCACCCAGAGGTAACAGAGCAATTTGTAAATGGTAATTGAACCCCCCTCACCACCCCATAGCAAGGTGAGAGCTCGTGTATTTTATAGATGAGAAGACTGGGGCCGAAGGGGAGAACACAGCCTCTCTGACACACATAACCTGCAGGGCGACAAGGGTGGTGAGGGGCTCCGTGGCTGAGCTGTGCTATGAGTGCCTGGGAAGCAGCAGAGCTGGCCCTGTCTGACCAGCATGCTGGGTGCTGGAGACCACCTGCCAGAATGGTATTGCTATTCTGCATGTAGGAAGAAGTTTCCGTCTCAAACTAATTGCTGCAAGCTCAAATGCATTCAGTCACTAGAGCTGCACTCTGGGAAAGGAGATGAATCCTAATGGTAGAACCGGCATGCAGTCTGGCCAGCACTGCCCTGCCAGGCACTGGAGAGAGGCCTGCCCGGTGGTCTGCGGTCCAGCTGCCTCTCTTCTCTGTCTCTGCCCCTCTCTTACTTTTGGTCCAGCAGCCTCTCTCTCTCTGTGTCTCTGTCTTTGTGTCTCTCTCCTAAATGCTTCAGTTCTCTGTGTCTGCCTCTCTCTGTCACTCTGTCTCTCTCTTGTTTATGGTCCAGCTGTCTTCTGCCTTTCTCATATATGCTCCAGCTGTCTCTGTCTCTCTGTATCTCACTCTCTGGTACATCGTCCAGCTGTCTCTCTGTCTCTCTCTCTCATGTATGTTCCAGCTGTCTCTCTTTCTCTCTCTTACACAGCCCCTCCAGCCCCCCGCAGCCCCATCTCCATGGAATCCCTGGCTGTTCTAAACACCCAGAACATCGCCGACATGCTTGGGGCTCATTCTAACCTTGTGCTGGCCCCAGCTTTCAGGCTTTCTTTCAAGAACCCCGAGAGGCGGGAAATACCCAGAGGCATTCTGCGGGCCGCCCAAACAAGTGGACCCCTTTTTGTCTTCCCTCCTTCTGCTGTTGATCATTTTTGTATATCTTTCCAAAGCACCAGGTGTGAAAATAAATGGGTGACTTTCATTTCTGTCTCTCCTCCCACCTACAACACTGATCTAGAACGTAGATCTGACCAGGTCAAACTGCAGTTGACCACATTTAAGAAAAAGTCTCATCTCTTTGAAAAGGCACCAATAACCCCGGGGTCCAGCCCCAGCCTGCCTTTGCCACTGTGGCTCTTTTCCCTCCTCCATGGATGAGAGACTCCTCCCTAACAGGGTCGCCTGTGCTGACACAGTCTGTTCTAGAGGTGTAGTCTGGGGGCGGCTATGAGGGGTTAAACCAAGACTGAGGCCACAACTGCCATGATGATGTCACATTAACAATCTCCATGTTAGCTGCTATTTTAAGCATTTTCTGTATGTGAAGCTTTTTACCGACCTTCTTTCATTTAATCCTCAGAAGAAGCCCGGGAGAGAGGGGCTGATGTTCTCTCCATCATGCAGTGCCTGAGAGCCCGGGCTCCAGATTCCATTTGCCTGGGCTCCACCGCTTAGTAGCTGTGTAACTTTGGGCAAAGCACTCCGCCTCTTAGGGCTTCCATTTCATCGTAGAAAAAGTGGGGATGATGGCATTCAAGTGCCCTCTCAAAGGATGGTGGTGAGGCCCAAATGAGTTAATACATAAAAAGTGCTCAGAACAGTGTCCAGTATGTGGTCAGTGCCCATACATTTTTAACTGTTACTACAGAAGGAACCAACGTTCAGAGAGAGTTAAACACCTGTTTGGTGTTCGCTCCCAACCTCTTAGCCACCGTGTTATAAATATGGCCATGAACAGCCAGACTGCTTTTATATGTGCACCCAGTGCCCAGCCGTAAAGGGTCTGGGTGCAGTCACTGTGCATGTCCTTCAGGGAAAGGGGCCACAGAAGAAGTGTTTGTGTTGTGTGGAACCATGAGCTCCCCCCGGCCATGGCTACCACCCCGCCAGTGAAAGGCACTGGAGGTATTTTCCACTGACTTGTTTGCCAGGTAAAAAGCATTCAAGATGCAATTCGAGATAAGAAGCAGCGGTTCAGCTTCCTTGGGGAGGAGATCAGCCTGAATCCTTCTGTGGGAATCTTCATCACCATGAACCCGGGCTACGCGGGCCGCACGGAGCTGCCTGAGAACCTCAAGGCTCTGTTCAGGTGAGCTTAGCTCTGCTCCTTGTGACGGCCCATAGAGAAGGTTCTTGTATTTCTTCTGAATGTGTATGACATATATGTTAGAGGAAACTTGGAACTTATGGAAAAGTAGATTTGAAAAAGCCACCTGTAATGCCATCACCAGTAAAATTATTTTTTGCTTAATTGTTCTTCGTTTATGCATATTTTAAAGTCACATGTTTATAGTCTACATTTGTGGTCTACACACTGTTTGTTTTTTCATTTCATAGTCTATCGTAATCCTATCAGCATAGTTTCTTCTTTTGTAAGATATTCTCAATAAATCTCATTTGGTGACTGCATTTTATTGTATCAAGTGTATAGTCCACAGTGTAATTAACTAGTCCCCCATAGTTAAATATTAAGACTGTTTCTAACGTTTAAGATACATTTATGCATAATGCTGTAATACACATCTGTGTACATAAGTCTTTTTTTCTGTATGCATGATTATTTTTTTTTGGCCAGCTTCCCAGAAGTGCAATCACTGAGTTAACAGGGAGGAACATTTTTAAGGCTCTTGATGCATGTTGTCAAATTGCTCTCTAAAAAGAGTGGTGCCAAATTACCTTTCTAGTAGCGATGCTTGAGGGCACCTCCTTTATTTTACCTTTGCCACTGGTGGATATTGCCATGCTTTCAAATCATCTTCATTTTGACAAGAAAACACAAATGCATTTCCTAGCAAGGGGCTGGAGTCTCTGGAAAGAGAAGTCAGCCCAACAAGGGGAACGCTGAAAGATGCCTCCTGGCTTCTGATTTTCTGCCTACTGAACTGTTGCTTCAGGGAGATAGACTGTGGGAGCTATGACAAAGCTGTTGGTCTCGTCTCCAGACCAAGAGACCCAGTGCTCTCTGTCTGGGGACATGAAAGCCTAGGAGACCACTGGAAAGCTCCCTGTGTCCTTACGTTCCTCACTGTTAAACTGCTCCAGGACGGCAAATTCCTGTATCACGGGAGTGGTGTGGGTGTCTCCTCCTTCAGTCAGGTCCTCACTTTAACCAAGAGCTTGTTGGAATGTCAACAGGTAGTGTAATCTGGGGCCACAGAATACTGTATTGTTTTCTATTTGTTTACACAAAGTGTTTATTAAATAAACCTTATGTTACAAATGATAATGGAGGCGGGTTATCACCCTGATAAGAATTATTCTTTACATTTTTTTCCCTAAATTTAAAGGGAACATATATCCATGGGGAAAAAAATGGGAGGAGAAAAACATTTGTAAAACAATAAATACAAATGTCTAGTTTTACATTTAATTCTCGCAAAAATCATATGAGGTGGATACTGTTGGAATCCACCTTGTACAGTGAGAAAACAGATGGAGTCAGCAAATTGCCTAGGGTAGTAACCCAAGTTACTAGGGTTAGCTAGTAGCCCACTAGAAAGCTGCAGGGCTGAGTTTGAACCCAGGCAGTCTGCCTCCGGACTCTCTGCTTCTCCCCATCCCAGTCCTGTCATCCAGACATAGTCAATGTGACCACTTGGCATTCTTCTCTCCAATAGTGTGTGGGCAGGGTATTCCTTTTTCAAACTTGGGATCAGACCCTATTTAGTTTAGTATCCTGCCTTCATTAGTTAATTTTTTCTCATGTCATTAAATGGTTTTTCTTCTACAGCATTATTTTTCATGGCCACATTGCATTCTATTGTACAAATGCATTTTTCACCTTATTTCAGGTTGCACAATAACTATGAGAATCTAATATTTGGTTGCTTCTTTGAATTTGAATGTAATGTAAAATAATTTAAAGGAAAAACATACTTGAATGAAATGTTTCTGAAAATTTTGTATCAGTGTAGGGAAAATGCCATTAAAGAAATGTAACAACCTTAGGCTCCTATTACATACCTAATAAGTTAATCTTAAAATCATATGTTTCTAGAACCAGAGGAAAAAATCACAGTAAGTCCTTACATCTGAACATAAATCCCCTTCTATATTCTCATATATGCCATTTCGTGAAAAGATGGGTTAGGCATCTACTTTAGACCTCAGCGTTAGATATTTACATTGGTTTGCGAGTAAGTGCAGGAAAAGCCCTGAACAGCTAGGCTTGGGAGAGATACAAGTCTTGAGGAGGAGGAATAGAGAGATTCTCCATTTCTTGTAGACACCAAAAGAGACTCAATTCCTCACCCTTAGCCTCTAATGTGTTCTAGACAACTTGCTTTACTAATCTGTGCCTTGTGCAAGGTGCACTGGACTCAAGTGACAAGACTTGAGTTGTAGCCCCAGCTCTGCCCCTGTCTGCTAACACCACGTATCCCCTTGGGTGGGAGAGCTCACTTCCTTTGTCTTTAGTTAAGTCATCTTTAAATTTTGAAAGCCTTAGATGAAATCATTGCTGAGGTCTAAGTTTTACACTCACAGATGCCTCTGTCCGTGATCTCAGCCAGTGTCTCTTGCTGACAAGCTCCCCTTCGACTGTGTGGTTGGGAAACTGCCTCACCCCTCTTTCTCCCTGTACACAGGCCTTGTGCGATGGTCGTTCCAGACTTCGAGTTGATCTGTGAAATCATGCTGGTGGCGGAAGGATTCATCGAAGCCCGGTTGTTAGCCAGAAAGTTTATTACCCTTTACCAGCTGTGCAAAGAGCTTCTCTCCAAACAGGTACACTCCTTAGTTAGACTGGACGACCAATTGTGTGATTACCCCGGCTCTGGATGGGCTCTGGGGCTAAGGTATTAGGGAAATCCATTAGAGCTTTCTTACAGAAAGCCCCTGTGACCATAAACGTATCGAAGCGCTGAGCACTTCTACAATAAAGATTTGTGTCCTCTTTTATAGCCTAGCATTTAAAAAAAATTATTTGACCAGAGAACTCTGTTTTTTAATAGAATATTTAGCAACACCTCATAGATCAGCGGTATACCATTAGAAACCCTGCCACAGCTAACGAGAACTCTTAGAGGGAATGGTCTTTACCTGAAGGGACATGAGATGGGGACAGGGTTGGGGAGAGAGATAGGCATTAAGGAGCCCCTTGCACGTCATTGCTACTTGTCCTTAAATGTGGCTTCTGCCTAGGGCAGTTCCCTCACAGGAATAGCACCTTAAAACATGGCTGAGAATCTCCAAGGTTTATGCCTTGGATGAAGAATTTCTTTGGGGGCAAGGACAGCCAATCCAGCTACCCTAGGCTGTTTCCAATGAGTTTCTCTTCCCTTTGGGGTTCTCTTACTTGGATCACCTCTGCTGCCATGATACAGGTTCTCTCAGCCCTGCGAAATCTGTTGAAGACAGGTTTTAAAAACCCTCTCCTGTTTCTTCATACTCCCCAGGCCCCTTTCTCATTGTATCCTCTCTCTAGGTTCTCTACCACTCTTTACTTCCAGGCCAGTGACTTACTTTCAGGACTCTATCCCAGACCTCTCCTTTGAACTCTAATCCTGTGTATTCAGTAGTCTACACCCATGCTCCCCTTGAGTGTCTAAAATGTTCCTTCAGCTCAGCTTCTAAAGCTCATCTTCGTGCCAGGCCCCACCCCAAGCCCACTTCTCCTACGTTCTTTGCTTCAGTACGCAGAACCATTTACTCACTCATTAATTCTGGAAGCCTGGGAGTTATCCGTGACACTTTCTTCTTCCTCAGCCTTCCATCTAATCATTAAGGAACTGTTCTTCATTCTACCCTCTGGATATTTCTCAGCTACAGCTCATTTGCTTTCCATACTTGCTGCTACCACTTTGGTTCCAAGCACCCATATCTCTTGCTTAAACTATTGGAACCCCCTCTCTGACTAGTTTCTCCACCTCTACTCTGGTTCCTCTACTCCATTCTTTAGCCACTAGCTAGAGCGATCATTTAAAAATGCTCCTCACTCCTCTTGGGATAAAGACTGATAGCCTTAACACTCTCTGTGAAAGACTGTGGGAGTCTATCTCCTGCCTCCTTCCACCACTTAGTTCATAGTCCTATTCATATTGTGCTGTGCTGCACCTACGCTGGTCTTCTTTGAGTTCATTGTGCAATGAAGACAAAGGACATGATGGCTGTACCCAGGCTAAGGATCAGACTCACTGAGCAAACAATATTAAAGAAGACCTGAGGGAGTAGAATTCAGTCAAGCACAGATGAAAAAGAAGTGCAGTCCAGGTCAGAAGGAAAAGGATGTCCACACGTTCAGGGGAGGGAAGACAGTCAATTTCAGGCATCGCCGCCATAGCCACCATCTTCGCTGCACGCTGAATTGCCCTTTGTGGCATGTATCACAGCTCTAATTAAACAACAATCTGCTGTGAAGCAAGTAGCAGAGCTGGGACTTGAACCTAGGTCTGTCTGAGTTCAGACTCTGCACTCTGAACCTCACACTGCACCACTTACCCCACCATGCTGCTCTGACACCTGGTCCAGCAGTATGGTCCACTCTCCAATGGAATCTACCATCAGAACTTGTGATTCTGGGTTCTGTCTTTGACAACATTTATAAGGAACTATTTTTATAAGAAACTACTTTTCTTAGAGAGTTTGAAGAACTTCAAGGTGGAGCATGTAAGCTCAAGGTACATTTTAGACACACAGGGAGAGTGGGGGTGTAGACCATTGAATGCACAGAATTAGAGTTCAAAAAAGAGGTCTGGGATAGAGTCGTGAAAATAAGTCACTGGCCTGGAAGTCAATAGTGATAGAGAACCTAGAGAGAGGATACGATGAGAAAGGGGCCTGGGGAGTATGAAGAAACAGGAGAGGGTTTTTTATCCATCTTGGAGCTCAAACTGTCTCTAAGAGCTGACAAGCCTCCCTTCCATCCTCTGAATGCACAAGGAGTAGTCAGATAAGTTTGGACATCGTTCTGTTTAGTCTCCCTGACCCCAAGCCCCCATTTGTTCGGTGTCATCCCCGCCAGAAAAGTAGCTAATGCTAGACCAGGAACTAGGATCCCATGATCATGACCTTCTATGTCATTAATCCTTTCCTATGCCTCTGCCTTGGCCTCAGAAGTAAACTAACACTGACGTGATGATACCTGTAATTTTGCAGTCGCTAGCTTGAGCGTATGGTGTTCTGCATCCCAGCAACTCTAGTCTAACCCGTGCTGCCTTCCTGCAGGATCACTATGACTGGGGACTGCGGGCCATCAAGTCTGTGCTGGTGGTGGCAGGATCCCTGAAACGAGGAGACCCCGACCGGCCTGAGGACCAAGTCCTAATGCGTTCTTTGCGAGACTTCAACATCCCCAAGATTGTGACTGATGACATGCCAGTGTTCATGGGCCTGATTGGGGACCTCTTTCCCACCCTGGATGTCCCTCGGAGGAGAGACCCCAACTTTGAAGCTTTGGTTAGGAAGGCGGTAGTGGATCTGAAGCTTCAGGCTGAGGACAACTTTGTGCTCAAGGTACATGGGATTTTCCCTCCCAAGATTTCTTTGTCTCTTAATCCTTTGCTTGGACAATGGGTTACACTTTGGCCTTAATCCAAAGGGTTGCTTTAGGTGTACAGATATTTATCTACTTTGTAATAACTTGATTCATTTCATTGCTCTTTATTGGGGAACCCACAATGTGGAATGCGTGGTAGGGATACTAAAGAAAGATGGAGAGGGGCCAGCCTGGTGGTACAGCAGTTAAGTTTGCACGTTCCACTTTGGTGGCCCGGGGTTTGCCGATTCAGATCCTGCGTGTGGACATGGCACCGCGTGGCAAGCCATGCTGTGGTAGGCATCCCACATATAAAGTAGAGGAAAATGGCCACAGATGTTAGCTCAGGGCCAGTCTTCCTCAGCAAAAAAGAGGAGGATTAGCAGCAGATGTTAGCTCAGGGCTAATCTTCCTCAAAAAAGAAAAAAAGAAAAAAAAAGATGGAGCCCCTCTCATCAGGGAGCTCACGATCTAATAAGAAGAATAAGACACAGTCTGCTCCGCTACAGCATGTGTTCCTTTCATGCGAATTACTTCAGACACGATTATAAAGGAATGATAGTGGTATAAAGTGGAAGCCATGTTGGTTCCTGTGCATTTTTCTGAGCTTGTAATGTTTTGGAGCAGTCAAGGGCAGGCTTTCTTACAATAAAAAAAGAGCCTTAGGGTGGTCGGCAGAATAATGCCTCCTTCCAAAGATGCCCACATCCTAACCCATGGAGCCTGTGAGTATGTTCTGTTACATAGCAAGGGGGGGATTGAGGCTGCAGATGGAACTAAGGTTGCCAATCAGCTGACTCTGAGATGGATAATGATCCTGGGTTATCCAGGTGGCCCAGTGTGATCACAACGATCTTAGTAAGTGAATTAGAAGGAGGCAGGAGAGTCAGAGTCAGAGCAACACCATAGGAGAAAGACTCAACCAGCCATTGCTGGCTTTCAAGATGGAGGAAGGGGCCATGAGCCCAGGAATGCAGGCAGCCTCTAGAAACTGGAAAAGGCAAGAAAACAGATTCTCCCCTAGAGCTTCCAGAAGAAACCTACCTTGTCAACACCTTGATTTTAGCCCAGAGAGACCCATTTTGGACTTCTGCCCACCAAAACTATAAGATAATCAGATTGCGTTACTGGAAGCCATCAAGTTTGCAGTAATTTGTTACACCAGTCATGGGAAAGAAACAGATTTAGCAATAAATACAGACCTTAAGAAAACACCCTGAAACTTTAGGTCAAGTATATCTAGTTTCATGGCTGTAGGAACCATGGTGGTTTGTACTGTTTTCTGAGGAGGCTCAGGGCAAGTGAAGACATTTCCCCTTGTGTTAAAACAATGAATTAATGAAGAACACCCCATCTAGATGGAATCTTTAGTTGTAGTTAAAATGGTCCTTACTAAGGGGCTGGCCCCATGGCAGAGTGGTAAAAGTTCCACATGCTCTGCTTCAGTGGCCTGGGTTTGCAGGTTCGGATCTCAGGCACAGACCTACTCTACTCACCAGCCATGCTGTGGAGGCCTCCCACATACATAAAATAGAGGAAGAAAAGAAAAGGTCCTTACCAGAAGTGAATATGTCTGTGACCTAACACTTGAAAAGGGAAGCACAGGGCCCCAGATTCAAGGCTACAAAGGACTGACCAACATGAGGCAAGGTGTAAATTCTCCAGGGACTTAACTGTGCTGGCATTCTTATTGGGATTAGGATGCATTGGTGGGTTTGTAGGGCTCTACAAACAAACATAAAGATACAAAGTTCTGTACATTTTGAGTGGTCTGCCCCAATCCCATTTTTCCCTAAGTCTGTTGTTTTTCCTGAACAGTTTTGCAGAAGGTAACGTTTTCAGGATGCATACGTGTTGTTACAGGAGGAGTGCCTGCACACAAATAACTATGCCTTGGAGCAGGTTGTGACAAGTGCCACAAAAGAGGGTTCTGGGTTACAGGGGCATGGATAGAATTTTTTTTCCCTGTACAATAATATCTTTAGGAATCACGTGAACATCACTTTAGAGTTCACGAGTGGTTTTACATCTGGTATCACCTTGGAACCCCCACCACCCCTGAGGCCAATGACACAGATGCGTCACTTCATAGTTGAGGAAACTGGAATGCTGTTACTTCTCCAAGATTTTGCACTAGGCTGCTTCACGGGACAGAACACGCTCCCCCGTGAGGACCTTATAGCCCTGGGGGGCAGCGTACTCCTACTCCACTCCAGGAGGTGTTTCTAACACGCAATACTTTCATTGGTAGAGATTAAGTCCTGGCTACATATAAATAGAATTGCAAGTCGGTGTCTGCTTTCACTTCTGAGATTACATTTTACAGAAGAAAGCAAAGCATCACCTGGCCCTTTGCAGCTGTGCTTGTTTTTGCCAGTCAGCCCATCCCCACTCCCAGCCTCTGTCCTCTCAAGTTCATGGATAGACTTTGTAAAGGTAGAGATGGGCAGGAGGGCCTTCCAGGTGGAGAGAAAGGGTCAGCAAAAGGGTAGATAGGGAAACAGAGAGGTTGTAAAGCTGCAAGTCCAGTATTTCTAGAGAAAAAGTTATTGAGGTGGGGGTCAGGGGCCAGTGATCAATAGGACTCAAATGATAACATGGGACCGTGATATAGAAGGCCTTGAATGCCAGATGGAGGAATCTTCTCTTGAAGAGTCTGATCCTAAGAGGCGCCCCACCCCAGAGATGAGTTAAACCCAATGAGGCTTCTAAGATGCAGTGCATGGGGGCTGATGTCTTAGAACCAAACAGTCCCATCTTCCCAGACTCTGGGAGTCTGCTGAGGAGCATGACCCTCCTGCCCTGTCCTCTGTATTTCTTTCCTACTCAGAATCTTTGTCTTCCTTTCTATTTGTTTGTTGGTTGGCCCACATTCTTCTTTTTTTCTCCTCTGCTTTTTCATAACTGCTTTCTGGATAAGACAGATGCTCTCCTTAAAGACTCTTGGAACAGATGATGTTTTCTGCCCACTTTTCATCTGCACTGTCCACTTAAACTTCTGAAAGTTAATTAATCCAAACCCCCTAGTGGGGCTCTGGTTTGAGATGGCATCCTGAGATCCGTTAAAAGTGATGATATAAATTTACTTTTTAAGGAAAAAGAATCAAACCATAGAAGTGTGGAAACTGAAAAGTGTAGATTTCTGGAAAGACGGAAAGAGGATGAAAACAAGTTGACAGATTAGGCAGAGCAGGGGGGCTGCAGGCCGGAATCCATGTAGAAAGGGCTTCTGGGGTAGAGGGGCGAGGAGGCAGCCAGCCTGCCATCAGAGCCCCGGCGAAGCTCTGGGCTTAGAATTGGAAGTTAAGGAGAGCAGGGGTGAGAAAGAACTGAAAACAGTCAGAGGGGGGATCATTAAGTCTGTTTACCCCATAATTTGGCAACTTGGCTCCCCACACTCTTCTGCCAGCTCCCCATTCTAGTCCCCAGTTCCCAAGAATGCAGACCATGTGCAGCCAGGCATTTAGCACACAGCCAAGAAGAAGAGTCTAAGGGATTTAATAAACTCTTTGAGGAAAACTCTTGGGGTATTAATGTCCCCCCTTTTAAGCCCTTACCTTCTGTTTGGGGCCCCTGAAGGCCAACCGTCTGCTCACTTGCCCACAAGTGAAAGGACAAAGAAAAGGCGGAGATCTGACCATGTGCACAGAGCTGCCGCTCCATCCTCCCACCCTGGAAAGAGACCCACCCATCCAGCAGACGGAAGAAAGAACTCTTAGAGAATTGTAGAAAACCTTTTGGAATAAATAATTGTATCATTGATGACACAAAATTCAGTGAGAGGATTGGAAAATAAAGTCAAGGAAATCTTCTAGGATGAAAATATATGCATGTATGTGTATAATAAAATATAATATATATGATACACACTCACACACAAAGAGATAGAAAGCACAAGAGGCAAGATGACTTATAGAGGATCAATCTAGCATGATGCCAATGGAGATTCTAGAAAGAAAGAACAGAGGGAACTTGCTAGAGCTGAAGACACGTGTCCAGATTGGATGGGCTCAGTCGGTACTGAATGGGGTGGATTTAAATGGACTTATACAAAGACATATCATATGCAATTTCAGAATTTAAAAGACGAGAAAAAAATTAAAGTTTCCTGGTTGGGTGACAGAGTGGCATGGTAATACAGGTGACCCAGGGAAGGGATGAAATTCAGGATGACATCTGAACTTCTCCTTAGCAACATTGGGTACTAGAGGACAAGAAAACCATTGCTTCAAAGTTCTGAGGGGAAATTATTTCAGGATTAGAATTCTATACCAACCAAATTATCAAGATATTTTCAAAGAGTCATAAGTTTTCCTTTGTATGCAACCTGTTTGAATAAGTTACTTAAGGACATACTGCAGCAAAATGAGGATGAAAAGCAGTAAAAATGTCATGAGATTCAAAAAAATCGGGAATCAAAACAGAATCCTGGAATGATAGCTTAGCTGTCGGTAGACCTAGAAAGCAATCAATTCCTATTAGAGCAGGAAGTCTGTGGTCTCCAAGAAAAAGGACTTCAAAACTGGAGATATTCAAAGCAAGAACAGATTAACAAGATGAAAGTTCTGATATGTTTTGTTCAACTTCTAAGTTATGGGAACTAAGGCTTATGTCCTTTCTCTTAACAAAGAGAACAGAAAGCAATTAAAAACATCAAGAGAAAGAAATCATGGTCTAAATTTTTTTTTAAGTAAATATGACCTGATATTGATCAGTTATGGAGTGTAAGAAAAGAGTGTCCATTTGACCTTGGATTGGTGCTTAGAATATCCTCTGCAAGTCACGACACCAGGCCCATAGAGAACACAATATTTTCCAGGTAACTACTTTCTTCTGTAGTGAAAAATATCTACAATCATAAAAATGTAAGCCACTATTGGTCTCCAACTCTTAGAATCATGGAAAATAGAAAATTTCTGAATATAAATATAGAACAGAATGTAAATACTATCAAACATGGCAATGTAAAAGTATAATGTATCTGAAAGAAGATAGGAGATACACAGAAAAAGGAAAGACAGAAGGAAGGGTGGGGATACTCATATATTTATCTTACAAAAGATACTGTCAAAAGTTAATGGATTCATAACAGTCAGAGAGTAGAAACAGATAAACAAATGTGGTATACCTATACAATGGAATTTTATTCAGCTATAAAGAGTATTGAAGAACTGGTACATGTTACAGCATGGATGAGCCCTGGAAACATCATAAGCAAAAGAAGTAAGTCACAAAATACCACATATTTCATGAATCTATTTATGTGAAATGTCCAAAATAGGCAAATCTATAGAGTCAGAATGTCTATCAGGGTAACATAGGCTGAAGTACGGGTTGGGGGATATATACGGACTGCTAATGGGTATGGTTTTTCCTTTTGGGGTGATGAAATGTTCTAAAATTTGATAGTGGTGATGGTTGTACAGTTCTGTGCATATGCTAAAAACCATTGGATTGTACACTTTAAAAAGGTGAATTTCATGGTATATAAATTATATCTCCATAAAGCTGTTGAAACAAATAAAAGGAAGTTGATGGAAGTGGAAAGCAATTTTAAGTCTTTCCAGTATCAGGGAATCAGTTGTTCATGAAAAAAACAAAAGATCTAGGCATATAATACAGTCTCCATTCAATGGCCAGAGCACCACCGCCACCACCTCTTCTGTTCCCTCCCCCTCCTCCTCCTCCTCCATTTTTTTTAATGCAGTGACCTCAGGTCAATTTCATGCCTAACATCCTCCAAAAACTTCCTCTATTAGAATAAAATTCCAGCTACCAATCCTGCATATCTAACCCCTGCTTACCTCTTTTTATCTCATCTGATAGCACTCTCCCCTTTTTTCCTGTTCTTCGAGCCCTCCAAACTTGCTGCCGGATGTAAGGGTTTTGCACTCATTGCCACTCTACCTGGAATGCGCTTCCCACTGGTCCTCACAGGGCTGACTCGTCTTCATTCATATATTGGCTTAGATGTCAGCCCCTCGGAGACCCTTCCCAACCACTCTCCTCATCCTTATCTGGGAAGATCCTGCATTAAGGCCCAGAAGAACAGAACAAGAGCCAGGATTGAGACTCTCCTCTGGGTGCTTTTGGATTCTGAATCAGAGAAACAGCAATGGCTTGGGATAGAGAAGAGGAAAATATTGATACTGTGGAAAACAAAACTTAAATTAATATCAATAATTTATCCTACCACAATGGAAGCTAACGATCTTGCTCCCCAAACAGTCATTTATCTGCTACCTTCATAATGAGCTTCACAGTACCCCTGTCCTTCTGATTCCATGGTTGTATGAGTCTAGAATTTTTTTTAATACCCGTGTCACTTAAATTTTTTAAAATATAGGAATTATTATTTATCATTTTAAAAAATGTAGAATAAATAAAATATATGGGGAAAAAACTTTCATTATGCCACTACCCTGTCAATATTTCAGCGCATTTCCTCTTCAGTTCACATCCCTCTGCTATCAAGGATTTTACAGCACAAAATATGAAGAAATCTGATCTACAATTAAGTTCACATGTTGTAGCTCATGACGTACAAGGCCTTTCATGATAGGGCCCATCCAACCTTCCCAATCATCCTTCATATTTTCAGCAAATATTTGTTCAGCACTTGGTATATGCCAGATTCTCTGCTAGACACTGGCAATGAGTGATCAGAAGCCCAGTCCTGCTGCCTTCAAGAGCTGATAATCTAAGAGGAAGACAGAAAAGTAACCATTGCCATATTGATAAGGACTAAGAGGTAGGATGTAGGTATGGGGCACCTACCCCAGACTAAGGGATGCATAGGGCCTGCTGAGGAAGGGAGGAAAAGAATAACTTCTGAACACAAGGCACAGTATGTTGAAAGCATAGACAGGGGAAAGAGCATCATTAAAGAACTCCAAGTAATTGTCTACCTGGAATGTGCATGTTGGAGGATGAGAGATAAGATGGAGGCGTGTTTGGATCAGACTGAAAAAGGGTCTTGTAAACCAGTGTAAGGATTTGGGATTTCATCACCAAAAGCTGTGGAGAACCACTGAAGGGACAGAGTGATAGCAGTGACATGATCAGATTTTCATTCCAGTAAGTGTACTCCTACAACAGGGTGACAAGGTGAGCCTGGAGGCAAGCTAGAACAAGAGTGACGAGACCTTCAATGCCATCATTGTCCCCAAGGGACTCTTTGACTTTAGCCTCATCAAACCATCAGGCCAACCACATAATACTCTGTCACACCACAGGCCTCTTTTCTGCTGTTACGTCTGCCTGGAATATCCTTCCTGTTCTTCTTCTAAGCAAACTCCTACTCATCCCTGAAGCCCCAGTTCAAATGCCTGCTCCTCTGTGAAGCCGTTCTTGTTCCCTTTGTCTTTACAAAATCAATTGTTTCCCCCCCATCTGTTCCCATAGCACTTTACGAATACCTTGACTATAGCACTTATCACCTTACTTTATAATAATTTTCAACTTGACTTGCTTCTCCATCAGACTATGAGATCGTGGAGGGCAGAAGAGTCATCTCTGGATCCCCCTCAATTGGTATACTCTCTAGCACTCAGTTGGTAACTAATAATTATACCCCTGAATGATGAATAAGTGAATAAATGGATCATGTTGCCCCTACACTTAGGACGCCATCACATCTTGAGGTGAATAACCCTTCCTCTGTTGACACCAGGTCTCACTTCAGACGCCAGCTTGTCTCTCCAAAGAGCAGTTGGGATGTAGATAAGCAACAGGTTGGTCTCTCTGCTGAATTTTGTCTCCCCAGGTGGTCCAGCTGGAGGAGCTTCTGGCGGTGCGGCACTCTGTGTTCGTGGTGGGCAATGCTGGTACCGGCAAGTCTCAGGTGCTGAGGTCCTTGCACAAGACCTATCAGGTCATGAAACGCCGCCCTGTCTGGACTGACCTCAACCCCAAAGCAGTCACAAACGATGAACTCTTTGGCATCATCAATCCAGCCACACGAGAATGGAAGGACGGTGAGCGTGGGATACCCCTAGGATGTCCCGCATTCTCAGAGCCCCTTGGGCAGGCTTGACTGTAGGGGGGTGAACTGCAGAGGAGAGAACACTGGCTTCATCTATTTGGGATGGGAGAAGGAGGTGAAAAGAATCAAAGAAAGGAAGAAACCGATGTCAGCTTAGAAGGGAACCTCAGCCTTCAGATGTTCTCTTTCCTTGGAGACCTCTTCCAGTTGCCCCTTGACAGAGGGCACTTGATGAGGGTAAAGCAAAGCAGGCATTCAGCCATAGTTTAGTGGTTCTGGAGCACAAATCATGGAGTCTCTACCCTGCCTGGCAGTGGGTTTAAGGCATGGGGAGGGTAGGGAAGCACACAGCTCATTCCCAAAGGAGTGGTGCAGTCTAGCATTCCATGGAGGGCACCTCTCCCTGTGAGCACTGTCCCAGGAGTAGTGGAGAAGCTGCTACAGAAGACGGTGCCTGGGCCAGTCCTGGTGATGCTGAAGACATCACTCATCTCAGGAGGGCCCTAGAGCCATGGGCCCCTCTACAGCTATTCAAAGGGTCCCAAACCTGCGTTCACTAACTACAGACCTCAGAGTCACCATCAAAGATTTAAAAATCACAGGTGCAGGTTGGAAAGGGTCTCCTGTCACTAGGAGAGAGCAGAAAAGAAAATACAGAAAACTTTCTATGAGCTGATAGGACCTCGTCTAAAACTTCTGTGGCTTCTGGAATGAGGAAATCTCATCTCCCTCCTAATGTTTCAAAGGCTGATTACATTGGGGTCAAGCTGCCTGGATTCCTCTAATTTAGGGCCTTCGTCAGAGGCCTGGAACAAGGAGATCTAAGGAGCAGCCTCTCTAATTTTTATTTCACTGACAATTAATGAGGCTTAGCATCTTTTCCTTCTTATTGGTCTTAAGACTTGGCTCTTTTGTGATTTTATTTCCCCTTATTATTTTCTTAACAGTTTGTAAGAATTCTTTATATATCAAAGATGTTAACTCTTTGTCTGTTATATGCATCGCTAATGGTTTTTCCCTGTCTACCGTTTGTTATAGACACTTCATGGCACGTTTACCATGCCATGGTAAATTTTTTATCCGTATGAAATTTATTTTTCGGCTTAATATGAAGTAAGGTAGAGAATCAACTTTATTTCCTCCCAGATGGATAATTGAATGTGCCAGCGCCATTTATTATGTAAACCGTCCTTTCCCTCTGATTTAAACACCAGCTTGTCACATATACTGAGATCTGATTCTGGGTTTTCTAGTTTGTTCTATTTATCACATCCAATACTGGTGTCATTTTATTTTGCTTACAATCATTTTATAATGTATTTTAATATCTGATGGGGTAGGTCCTTCCTCAATATTCTTTTGTCATTTTCTTGGCTAGTCTCAGGCACTTCTTATTCCATATTAAATTTAATTTCACACAATATAATTAAAACTTCAAACTCTCTTGGAATTTTAATTAAAGTTTTATTAAATATATACACGAAATTTGGAGAAGTTGACAAAGGAGATATAATAATCATAAATCTGTATTCACTAAACAAGAGAGCTTCCAAGTAAATGGAATATAGCCTTTTAAAATTTTTTAGAAGAACTTGATAAAAATAGAAATATAGTGAGTTATAATAATACACCTTTTTCAAAATTAGACAGGTCCCATAGTGAGAAAAATAAGTATAGATATTAGAGGACCTGGGAAATACATCATCAACGTCAATGTAACACATGACTGTAGAACTTTGCATCTTATAAAGAGAAAATATTCCTTCTTGGCTTGTTCATGGGACGTTTCCAAAAATTAAAAATTTAGTTGGCTACAGAAGAAGCCACGATGAATTCAAAAGTATCAATTTACAGGCCACATTCTCTGATAATAATCCAATAGAATTAAAATCAAATAGTAGGAAAATGACGGAAAATAATTTTACACTTGCAAATCAAGAATTGCTCACTTAACCCCTGGATTAAGGAAAAAATTAAATTGCAACCCCTCTGGGAAGAAATATGAAGAAGAACACTTCATACAAAAACCTATGGGACACAACTGAAGTCTATAAGGAAAACTCTAAACACTCTTTATTACAGAAAGTAGGTTAGAAATAAAGGTAGTCCGTATTCATCCTTAGAAATTAGAGTAATAAACTAAACCTGAAGGAAATTGGGAAGAAGAAACTAATAAAGATAAAAGCTGAAATTAGTGGGAAGGAGCAAAAGAAAATCATAGGAATGTTAAATAAATATAAATATTCTCCTTATAAAGACCAATAAGTCCACTGTGAGCATCATTAATGGGGAAGGGGAAGAGTAAAAATATATAAGATTAGGAATTAGAAAGAATATATGATAGTAGATATAGACAATTAAAATAGAAGAGAACATTTAATTAGATGACATATATTTGAAAAACTAGAGGAAACAGATAGTCCTCTAGCAAAACATATTAACAAAACTTAATAAGAAGTAGAAAAGGGGTAAACTAATGAAAAGGAAAATTTAAAAATCATAGGAGAACAAAAAAAGATAATTCCAAAAAATCAAAAAAGGACACCTCTCAAATAATTTTATGAAGCCAGAATAATCTTGATAACCTTTATGTAGAACCAAAAACAATACCCCAATTTCATTTATTAATATGGATTCAGAATTTCTGAATAAAATATCAGTAAATAAAATCCAACAGTGTCTCAAAAGAATAATACACTTTGACTAAGTAGAATCTACTCCAGGAATGTACGGATAGATCAATTACTTTTTAAGTATTAAAATGAAGGATTTGACAACTTAAAGTAGAAAATCACTTGCTCAATGAATAGATACTAAAAACTCAGTAGCCATTCCTAGTAAAAAAAAACTCTAAGTAAAATAGGAGTAGAAGAAAATCTCTTAAATATAATGAATACTCGTTACATAAAGCCAAAAGGAAAAAGAAGTCATTCTGAGTGATGAGAAACTAAAGCCACCTCCATTAAAATCGGGAATAAGTCAGGGAGACCTATTATTAACATTATTAGTCAGTGTTGCTTGGTAGGGTTCTAGAAAATGCAGCAAGACAAGAAAATGGAATACATGGTATAAATTGGAGGGAAGGAGAAAAATTATTTTGCTGATTATAGAACTTTATACCTAGAAAACTTGAGACATTATTGAAAAATCACTAGAATTAACTAAAAATGGAAATACAGAAAATAAATCTCATTCACAGTAGCAATAAAAACTATGAAATGTTTAGGAATACATCCAGCCAAAGAGATGCAGTGAAAACGCTGCAAAAATTTATTAAGGAACATAAAACAATATTTGAATAAATGAAAAGACATGCCATATTATTGATGAGGAAAGCTTAGTATCATAAAAATAAATTCTATCCAAATTAAGATATAAATTCCTTTTTGTAATGCCAATTAGAATCATTCCGTGCCTTCTCTCAAAGCCTGCGTTTGACAAGATTTACCCGGGCTGCAGGGACAAAGAATGAAAACCTTAGCTAAAAGGTTTTATGTAATTCCATCGTGTCACAGTTCCCTGTTGAAATGATTCACTGGGTCCCTTGTCACTTAAGAAGCTTAGTACTAACAGAGTTTGCTACTGTTGTCCTTAGAAAAAGTCAGACTGAAGCTCGGAGAGACTGGCCCCTTGGACATCGTCAGGTTTTTGGTAGAGCAGGCTACAAAGCCACTTCTGACCTGCCTTTTTTATTTATACCTCCTTCCGAGTGTGGTAGCTAACAGACAAAGGCTGCGTTAAGAGACAGAAGATTGACGGTGAAATGGAAAATAAGATATCCGTGGTTCCTTTTAGGATTGTTCTCTTCCATCATGCGGGAGCTTGCCAACATCACTCATGACGGGCCCAAGTGGATTTTACTGGATGGTGACATAGATCCAATGTGGATTGAATCTCTCAACACTGTCATGGATGATAACAAGGTATCAAGGGGGAAGGGAAATCCCTACATCATCCCTAATCGTCTATGAAACCAGTCCCCCAGCGTGGCAGGCACGTTTGGAAATCTCCACTCTACACAAGAGCTGGCCCCAAGTAAGGAATCATTACTAATGTCTTTATTTTTAAATTTTTTTCCAGCTTTATTGAGAAATAATTGACACACAACATTATGTAAGTTTAAGGTGTACAGTGTGGCAATCTGAAATACATGTATATTGTGAAATGATTACCACAATAAGGTTGGTTAACACCCATCACCTCACATAATTACCTTTTTTTATGTGTTGTGAGAACTTTTAAGGTCTACTCTGTTAGCAACTTTCACATATACAATATGGTATTGTTAACTACAGTCACCCTGCTGTACGTTAAATCCCCAGAATAACTCATCTTATAAGTAGAAGTTTGTACCCTTTGACCACCTTCACCCATTTCCTCCCCACTTCCCACTCCCCCCTCCCTGGCAACCACCAATCTGCTCTCTCTTTCTATGAGTTTAGCTTTTTTAGATTTCACATGTTGGGGAGATCTTACAATATTTTTCTGTCTCTGTCTGGCTTATTTCACTTAACATAATGCTCTCCAAGTCCATCCATAGCAGGATTTCCTTCTTTTTTATGGCGGAATAATATTCTGTTATCTAGACATACCACATTTTCTTTATCTAATCATCCATTGACAGACACTTAGGTTGTTTCCATGTCTTGGTTATAGTAAATAACGCTCCACTGAAAATGGGGGTTCAGATCTCTCTTCAAGATCCTAGTTGTATTTATTGCCTGCGTCTTTAACAGACATCTCAGATTCATCCGAACAAGCAACTTTCGCTTACTTCAATAGCACTGCATTGTTTATGCTGTTTTTAGCATAGTTTTAACTTTGTTCAGAATCTTCTGCATGTAGATTAATTTAATATTTAGAGCTGAAAGGAATCCTAAATCATGTATTCAAATCTTTTAATTTTTTCCTATTCTATAAATAAGGAAATTGAGGATCAGCAATATCCTGAGCCCGTCAGGCATCCTGAATGGTAGTGAATCTTTATCCATTGAGTGACAGTATATTATTTTTCATAAACAACGAAAACTAAATGAATGCCAATAAAATGGCTGTTAAGCTGGTAGCTGCTCCTGAACTTGTTCAGAAAGCACATCCAGATTAGAAGTTTTACGATGATTTCCACAGTTACAGGATCGTTAGAATAAATGTATGCTCTCCCAGAGGGACTGCTTTAAAAGAAACAGTAGTAATATGAAGCCTCTGCTTTTTTTCCTTTAGTAATCCTACTATTCCAATATGGTCTAGTTTAGTCAAATCATTGACATCAATTGAAACTTTTTAGATAACTTGTTTGCTGATGCAGTACACACACGCACAGGGATGGGGGAGGGGGAGTACAAGAGGAGGAAGAGGGGATTGGTGTAGACCATTAGAAAATACTTACAATCATAAATAAGAAAATAATCATCCATAATCCCTCGCAGCAGTAATCAAACAAATCCCCCCCCAGCTGGCCACGTGCCCAGCTCTGTACCACCTGGCGTCCCCCTCTGTTGTTTCCAGGTGCTGACCCTCTCGAGCAATGAGAGGATCCCTCTGAATCCCACGATGAGGCTCCTCTTTGAGATCAGCCACCTGCGCACAGCCACACCGGCAACTGTCTCCAGAGCAGGTATGGCCCAAGAAAAGAAAGCAACAGATGCCTTTAGCATTAGATAGGATGTTGCTGGCTCAGAAAGAAGCTCCAAACAGGAGTCGAACATCGATCATCCAAAACTCTGGCCTAAACTCAGCCCTAATCCACCTCTGAGGGGCTGAGCAAGTGCTCTAAGGCCAGAGCCATGTGATTTTCTTAATTCAGAAATGTTACGGTAATGGGAAGAGAAATGGCCCCTGGGCTGGACACTTCTATCCCTCTGCATAGAAGGGCCTCGAATTAGGCTGCGTGTAGGCCAGCTCTAGCCTCCATGTTAATGGAGATGACCAAGCATTGCAATTTCTCACTACATCCTGGTGGAAAATAGCAACTTTATACCTTAGCTTTCTTCTGTCTCCACTGGGCAAATTGATCAGCAGAGACTAGAGGATGAACAGAATGTGTTTGTTCTCCTCCACAGTATCAGATCCTCTTTCAAGGATCTGTGCTGAGACTGGGAACACGGGCCAGGAGACTGGTCTCTCTTACTCTGTATCTGTTTCCTAGGGCTACTCTAACAAATCACCATGAACTTGGCTTTTAAAACAACAGCAATTTATTCTTTCACAGTTCCAGAAGTCAGACATCTGAAATGAAGGTGTCAGACCAGCTGTGCTCCCTCTGAAGGCTCTAGGAAAGAATCGTCCCTTCCATCTTCCAGCTTTGGTGTTCCTTGGCTTGTGGCCTGTGACTCCAATCTCTACCTCCATCTTCACATGGCCTTCTTCTCTGTGTGTCTTTCCTTTTCTGTCTCTTGTAAGGACACTTGTAAGTGCCCCACCCAGATAACCCAGGATGATCTCATCTCAAGATAGTCAACTTGATAATAAATGCGAAGCCCCTTTTTCTAAATAAGCTCGCATTCACAGGTTCCAGGGGTTAGGACGTGGACATTTTCTTTTGGGGGCCACATTTCAACCTGCTACACACTTGCATACTATGATAACTATTGCTAATCAATCACAGCCTTCTTTCCTCCTGAGCCTGGACTTGACCTTAGGATCCTTTTCAACACTGCTTTCCATCGGCTATTATCAGTCCATCACAGTGGATCCCAACAGCAAACCCATTTGCCCTCTCAGACCTCAGCCAGATCTCTGTTCTTTCTAAGTCCAGTTTTCTATACATTTTCTAAACAGAGAAAATAGCTCTCTGGGGTGAAGAATATACTGACATCTATGGAAAATTCACTCAACAGTATTCTCTGTGCTCCAGGGATCCTGTACATCAACCCAGCAGACCTGGGATGGAATCCTCCGGTGAGCAGCTGGATTGACAGGAGGGAAATCCAGACAGAGAGAGCCAACTTAACCATTCTGTTTGACAAGTATCTTCCAACCTGCTTAGACACACTGAGAACCAGGTGGGCCAAGAAAGAAGGAAGGTCATAAGTTAAAGCAGCAATAAAAAGCCTGTTGGCTCACACCTGATGTCCCACTGATGTTCTGTCCTGTCCCCAAAGTCAGATGTCCCTAGAGCATTCCCTCTGGGCATGGCAGATGGCAGAGGGGAACACACATTAGGATGGCCATGGGATGCCTATTGTCAGTTCAGGCAAGAAGTGAGATGAATGAAGAGGAGGAAAATTTAAAGTGCCATCCATCAGTGCCACATGGGTGTTTTAGAAGGAGGCTGTGGGCTGTAATATCAGATAACAATCCTGAGATCCTTCAGTTTGCAGGCCACACAGCTGGCCCTCCTACAAATGATACACAGGCCAGATCCACAGACCTAGAGGTGAAGATGACAGCTGTCGGTGACATGTGGGGCATACTTCCTGTTCCTGGCTGTGTATGTTCATGGCCCAGATAATGTGAGATTAGGTATAATGCATCATTTGACTGTCCTGCCCCTCTGGACACCATGAGTCACTGTTCCTCTTATGGGTTTGCAAAAGTAAAAGCAACAAGTCTTGACCATTTATCACATAAACGAGATTAATCCTCTTAACCAAAAGGACACTTATTACAGCAAGAATATTATATGTGTCTGCAGAGAATGGTTCCAGTGTTTGGAATCTGCTGTTGGTTTACATTCTCTTCTTTTGCCATTGGATACATCATTCTATGAATTGGGTACCAACCTTGTAGTTTAGTCCAATTCAACCGTCAGAAGCTGGTCCTGCGAAGGCCACGTGCCGCAGAAATCCATAGTCCCTAAGGATTCAACAAGTTAGGGTCAGGATTGTGTTTCCCAGAAGTTAAGTCCATCACTAAAAGTCATCCTCACCTCCTTCTTCGTTGGTCTGTCAAGCACAAGGTGGGGAATTGCTCGCAAGTGTGGAGGCAGAGGTGAAGGGAGAACTTCCTACTGCAAGAGGGCCTGAGGTGGTCTCATTTCATGTGCCCCACCCCCACTCTATCAAAATTTACCCATGTTAAGAATGAATTTTAGGACCAGTCCCGGTGGGCTTGTGGTGAAGTTTGGCGTGCTCCACTTCAGTAGCCTGGGTTCAGTTCCCAGGCATGGACCTACACCACGCATCTGTCAGTGGCCGTGCTGTGGTGGCAGCTCACGTACAGAAAGAGGAAGAATGACAGTGGATGTTAGCTCAGGGAATCTTCCTCAGCCAAAAAGAAAAAAAAAAGACTGACTTTTATATAACAAAAACCTGAGTTGCTGCCAAGTAGTTGACATAGTGGTGTATTTTTAGATATTTAATTAGACATTTATTAATTTGGATTTTGTAATTTTTATATTTCAAGGTCAATAATTATTTTTCAAGTTGTCTAAAAGTTAGGCCATTTCCCACTCTGGGAATTTAGAACAAGAGAAGCCAAACTCTTGTCTATTTGTGTGTGAGTGTGTGTGTGTACACATGTGTGCTCATGTTCATGCACAAGCCTTTGAGACAAGCTTTGAAGACTCTGTGTTAAGTCTGTCCAGAGACAATTCCCCCACAATCTCTGAACCCTATGGGTATCAAGGAAAAAAAAATAGTTGTCGTTTGTGGTGCCTGCTCTGGGTGTTATTTCATTTAATTCTCACAACACTCCTAAGACAGCTGACAATCCTGGAGATCAGGGAGCTAAGGTTCCCCGATGCTCCCTTGGCATCACAGCTAGCTAGTAACAAGGCGCTTACTTCAAAGTCTTACTTGGATTTTATTCATCACAGCCTTGTAATGCTGGCTTTACGTGGCCCTGTTCTCATGAATCTGTGCGATGTCGACACATAGTTTTATGAACAAGCAGACATCGTAAGGGGTGATTTTTATAATTTTGCAACTTTATTTTGTTTCCCACTGCTCCTTCAAAACCATTTTATGTGGCTGTTCTCCTCCTGGCCCTGGATGAAATCTAGGTCAACGTCCATGAATTTTCTCATCATTCTTCAGTAATGAAAAGCCATTGGATCAATTCTGGTCACACAATCACACATACAAACACACGAAAATTTTTAAAAACACGCAGTGAAAATTTTAATAAGCAAACTCCATTTAAAATGAAAGCTGCTCCCCCTGCCCGCACAGCTCAGGTCTGCTTCCAGCTCTCCGCCTGCACTGGGAAAGGCGAGTTTCCTTGACTTCTCTTCTCACTCTACCAGTCGCCCCCGCACCAGCTGTAGCTTCTGACCCATCATGGTTGAAGGGGGACAGAGAGAAGAGCGTAAGAGGCGGGAACAGTCTTAACGACTGCAGTGAGCATGGCCTTAGTGACCCTCTAACTGTGGCAGGTTTGAAATCGGATTCTTTCTCTTTGGAAGTTTTTGTGAGTTCCTTGGACCTCTCACCATCACTGGAGATCTCCTATATGCCTTTCCTTGAATCAAGTAAATGCCTCTCCCTCAGCCAATCATCGACAACTCCTCATGCAAACCCCTCTGGGTGGCTCCCTTAGCCAGCTTTTAAAACAAGCCCACATGCTCATAGCCCACAATGGACCCCAGAAAACACTCACCCCTCCTTTGCTTTGACAAACTGAAGCACAGGCTGCCCCAGCAAGCCACCTCTCTAAACTCCCCTGTGAGGTTAGCAAGTCTCTGCAGGGTTTTCCAGCCGTGGGTCCTTTGCCAGCTCAGAGAAGTCCTATTGAAGCCCATTTCTCTGTCTTTCTAGTTGAGGCAAGCACTTGCCTTCCCTACGGGAGAGGGGGTACTCATTGAACACTAAGAGCTCTCCCTAAAATTCTGTATGCTAATTTCTAGCCCTTTCAGATCTCCTACTTTGATCCTCTATACCCTTGAGAGGACCAGAGGCCAGGGTTGCAAAACCCTTTGCAAGTCTCCCCTAGGCTGTCTGGAATCTCAGTTTGGAATTGTCAGAGTAGTCGGCCCCTGCGATCTTGGTGCCTCATCCAGAACTGAGCCTGAGATGGTTCCATTTTACATTCTGTTACAAAGATGTGTCAGAGAAGTGAAGGAAAGCCCTTCAAGCACTCAGTTTTCTCATTACTCGTAGAAGTAATGCCTAAACTACTAGACCACTTGTGAGGATTGCAACTGGTTTATAAACAGGGGCAAACACAAAACACTAAAGAGAATGGGTTGCTGTGACACTCTGAGGCCCTGTGCTGGTAAATGACTTTTAAGGTGTCACTTGACGGTGTTGCTCATCTTATAACAACAGACTGCCTCTCCGCAGCCTGTGAGCTCATCTTCCCATGGGAGATGGCAACGTGGGCAGGTGTACAGGAGGGGTTAGTGTGTGGGTACGTGGTGTACTCTGTGTCCAGTTGGTGCAATGAGAGCGCCCATGTGTGTGCATGTGTGTGTGTGCACGCACCACATGTTCTTGCTCCCTTGGGTGTAGATTCATCCTTATGCCTCTCTTGATATCTGCCTTGCAGTCAAGACCTCCAAAGCCAAGAATAAAGATAGAAAAGCCAGGCCGGGACAAAGTCACAGAGGTATTTTTTCAGAAGAGGAACTCCATCAAGTGAATCATGATTGTATAAAATAACCATCTGTCCTGGCCCACTCTGCCCCCTAGAGAAGATTCTGGCCCCAGAGAAAATGTTTTCGATATATTTTAATTGAGGGAACTCCTCCGAGCTGGAGGAGTAGAAGGACCAAGTTCAGAATTGCAGCCACCTTGACTCTTGTAGGTGCTTTTTGACAACTGAGGAAACTGTGAAAGGAGTGAAATTGAGATATTTACTCTTTTAGTTGCAGCTGCCTACATTCCCCAAGGACTGAGAGAGGACCATCAATGTTCAGAGAAGGGAAGAGGAGAGGGGAAGGGCATCAGAGGAAAGGAAGATGAGAAAAGGAACCTTCTTAGGTGTGCTCCAGGCCCTTACTTCTTTGCAAAGGGAGCTGACCCGAAAATAGCTGATGAGAACACGGTAGCAACATGGTCCTCTGTAATCCCAAAGTTTTTGCTGCTGCAAAACAGCATGACAAATGTTGAGTCCACAGAAACCAACTAGGTTCCATGGCTGTCCAGCAACACCTCTGGGATGGAAAATCCAGTGTTTTAGAGCACACCTGGGTCTCTCTTTGCAGATTTAAGAAGATAATTCCAATCCCAGAGCAGAGCATGGTTCAGACGCTGTGCTACCTTCTTGAGTGTCTGCTGACTAAGGAGGACATCCCTGCAGACTGCCCCAAGGAAACCTATGAGCTTTATTTTGTGTTTGCTGCCATCTGGGCTTTTGGTGGAGCAATGGTCCAAGATCAGGTAAGAGGACGCGCTGAGGTTAACACCCATGTGCAAGTCCACAGCAGCAAAAACTGACCTACCAGCAAAGATTTGGAAGACAGGATGGCTAAATGTCAGAATCAATATGAAAGCGTCGAACTGTTTGTTTTACCCACTGCTCTGCTAAAGACATCAGTCCCCACAGAGGGCCTCATGGGGTCAGACAGATGAGATTGGGCTGTATTTTGAGCTGTTGCTTTTTGAGTTAGTGAATGTATCCCCGATTTCCTGGAGAATTGCAGTGTTTGAGTTTGAACAACTGGAGCTATAAGTATACCACATTGCAAGGTGATATGCTTCTTATATGTGGAATGATGCCGTGCTGTTGAAGCTTGAGTGAAAGGAACCCCTTTAGCCTTCTAAAAATCTTCCAGAACAAGCAGGTACCACTCCGTACCAGACCAGAGTTAACCGTCACATCTCCATACTCCTGAAATGCAGAGCTATCCATAGAAGTTTGGGCTGAAAGTTAATTGACATCTGGGTGTGGGAAAACAAAGTAGTATTTATCTCGTAGTGTTGGCTGCTGTAGCCCCCTGCTGTTTGGGGTAGGGATGTTGGCTTGGAGTATCTTGGCATCCTATTCCCTAACCCTTCCCATATTCCCAGCCTTTTTCTTTACTTAGTGGTCTCCAGATAAAAGGTATTTTTTCTAGAAACAACATATTCAAGCTTACGCAGACCAGTTGTTAACAACTTTATCTATCAGGCAATGTCATATAGAAGTTGAGAATATGGACTCGGCATTTGAATTGTAACTCTGCCGCTTATTATCTAGAGGACCCTGAACGAGTAACTTAACCTCTCTCTACCTTACTTTCCCTGTGTGTACAAAGGAGATGAGAGTGATGAGTGTGGTACCTAGTTCCTAGGATGTTTGTAAGGATTAAATGAAGGGATACTGTTCTAATTGCCCAGCATGAATATGTGCAAGGCACTTAGAATAGTGCTGGCACACATGTGTGCTTATTATTAATATTCTCCCACCATAAATGTTCAGTTTCATAGCAAATACCTGCCTCTCTCCAACAGGAGATCAAACCCAGCTGTAATTGTTGGAGACTTATGATTTTCTCTTTCTGGTCTGGGTTGATTATGGGCCCTTTCAAGGAAAGAGAGAAAAAATTTCAGCCTCCCAGAGCAAACCATGTTCTAAGAATCCAAAATGGAGGTGAGCTGGGAGAATTAACAATTAATTTAGAATTAACAATTAATTTCTTTTCCATTTTCCCAGGCTCTGGATGTAACATCCATCCTACCTCCCATCACTCCCTAACATGTTCTTTGGTGCTCAAAATTCAGAAAACAGCTCTTGCAAGTCCTTGGGATGTGTGCTTTCTCCCTCTCCCTCTCTAGAGCTAGAGGCTGGTGAGGACGGGGACTCTCCAAGGGCAGCAGGATGCCTGGATGGATGGGAGCTAGACATCTGAGAATATCATGCTGTCTCTTCTGCAGGCCTTGGAGCTCCTCCGTGGACTGCTTCTTTGACAGCTTTACATTTCCCCTTTGAGGCAAGGAGGCAATGAGTCCAGCAGGATGGATGAGACCTGGCTGAAATGCACAGACATCCAGAATGCATAGCTTATTGCTTTCCATCAAATGCAGTCTCTGACCTTTCGGCTTCTGAAATGTCAGAAAGCAACCACTACCGAGCTTCTCTCTTATGCTGGTGCCCAGCAGGCAGTGGGGTAGGAGGATGAAGATACTTGGTCAATTTTTCTATCTCTGTATAGAAAAACTTAAATCCACTCAACTCTTTTTAAAAGCCCAGCGGAAAGCACCCCTCCAGGCATCCTGGGCTCTGGAGCACTTGGAGCTGCAGGCAGCCAGGCTGGTACATGGGGAGAGGACAAGAGAGAGAGCTTTTAGCAGCAGGGAATGTCCAAGACCCCACACAGTCCGCATTCAAGCCAAACACCAAAATAATGCTGTAAATTGAAAAGTAGGGAGTTGGCCAAAGTATTCACATCAGGAACACCAATGGTGTTTACGTTTAAAAAGCTGTCAGTAAAGCAAAGCAAAAGTGCAAAGTACAGCCTCTGCTTGAGTAGAAGGCCCAGTAATAAAAGGGGGGAAGGGGCCTGGCTAAATAGTTTGCAGCAATCGATCACAGGAAATGATCTCTGAGGGAGCACCGGATTGGGAGACTAAAACCCTGAGTGCAACTCCCTGGTCTACCTTCTCCTTCTAGAAGTGGAAACTTTTAAGCTATTGTCTTTTCATATATAAAATAGAAATAATTTTCAGTAGCCAGGATAACTTAGAGCAATGTGAGGATCAGATGAGGTGATCTTGCCTTCCACACTCGGCTGCTGTATACCGGTAGAGCCTTAGTGTTGTCAAGTTCAAAGGGCAGGAAGGGGACCACAGATTTGTCGGAAGCCAAAAGAGACGAGGATTTCAGAAGCGGCCTCTTCATTAAGGCCATTACTGAAGAGACACCCAAAGAGTTGAACTGAGAAAGGGCCACCGGATGAATCAGCAGAGGTGACCTTGTCTTTACAGTGTTCAGTGGCAGTGGAAGGCGAGGTCAAGGGCCAGCCTACAGGAGGGCGAGACAGTGATGGCACAGTCCAGCTGACGGCTTGGCTAAGAAGCTGACCGGGTGGCTCAAGGTGGAACTGGGAGTGAGGAAAGAAGATCCACCCGACCTCCTTCTTTCTAAAGCTGGCCCTTGTCTCAGATTTTCCATGGAAACCTAAAATCTGGTTTACATAGGAAGTTAAAGGCCTTCAAGAATTTATTCATCAGTTAAAAATGGAAACTTTTTCTAAGACTTCTGATTGCACAGAACAGTATTGAGAAGACACAGTGTCCCCTTAATCTGAATTCAGATCAGAAGAAGAACAGCAAACAAATTGGTCCTTACCTCAGGGCCTGTTTCCGTTCTCACTTTAAGGCAAAAGAATTCAATCTCACTTACCTAGTAGACAGCCAAACGAGGAGTGCCATTCCCTCCAGGGCCAGGTCCATTGACGTGTGCCCACTCCCCGGTCTGTCCTGCCTTTGGACTCCATCTTTGTCCTACCCTCCAGGAACGTTTCCTAAAATGCCCAGTGTGGGCCTCTTTGTGGGATCTTTCCTGGGTCTGTGTGTTCGAAGAGCGGGTTTGCTCCCCCAGAGGGTTGCCAGTGGCAGCAGGTATGTTGAGGGGGAGGCGTGCACGCACTGGCGTGTTCAGCTTGGACACAGGAAGACAGTTTGAGTACACTGGGCACACAGCCCTGTCCTCCAGAGCTCGGATCTAATATGGATGCATGTAAATTATGTCTCTACCTACTTCTGTCAGAAAGACCACTGTAGCTTTGTCTCGGCTGCTCCTAGATGTTAGAATTTTAGTTCTTAAAGGAAACTTAGAAATCCTCTTTTCTAGAATCTTCATTTTACAGATGAGGAAACTAAACCACAGAAAGAAATGATTTGCCCGTGGTTGTGTGCCTGCCTCCCCTTCTGAGGCTCTTCTCACTCAACCACCCTGTGCCCCCAGGTGTCAACAGTCACCAGTTCATTCATTCTGTCCCTGACTGCCTTCCTGGACGTTGCTCAGAGTCTCGGCAGTCTGCCAGGATAGGGCCCGATCTGTCTTTCCAGGAGTTTTGGCCACGCTCGCCCATCTTGTGGTTGCAGGCTCCCTCTGTCCTCCGTGTTCTTATGCCTCCCTCCCACCCCCTCCCCCCGCCATGGCTCTGACATGTGCCAGTGCCACAGAGGCTCAGTGAGGGTCAAGCAGGGACACTCATACATGTTCAAGGGAGGCCCTTGGGTGGCTGGGCCTGGTTGGGGTTGATCCTCGGGGGACCAGCGTCCTTCCTGGAGGAGCTGGCCCGTTAGGCCAGCCTGCACGGGCAGGAGCACTTCGTGTTCCGCCTCCTGCCCTTCTGCCTGATGCCAGGGCAGCGTGTCCAGGCTTCTCAAGCTCTGGAGAGCCTTGCCCCTGACCTGCTTTGTTTTGGCAGCTTGTGGACTACCAGGCAGAGTTCAGCAAATGGTGGCTGACCGAGTTCAAGACAGTCAAGTTTCCTTCCCAGGGAACCGTCTTTGACTATTACATAGACCCGGAGACCAAGAAGTTCGAGCCGTGGTCCACACTCATCCCACAGTTTGAATTTGACCCTGAGTTGCCTTTGCAGGTGAGTGTGGCTGAGTGACCGACAACATGCAGTCACCCCAAGGATATGCAGCAGCTCTAGCTGAAGCCTCTTGTTGGTCTTCAAGTATTTTGACCTTGCCAGGAACTAGTCATCTCCTTTTCCTTTTCAGAGGAAATCATAGTGCAGTGAAGTCACGACATCCCCTAAAGGCTAGATAACTTAATTACCAGGCCCCACTGGCATCGTGGGGAAAGAGGGGGGAAGATGGCAGGGGCAGAAGGTTCTAAAGTGCGTCAGCGAGACCATAGGGATGCAGACAGAGCCGGTCGGGGAGGGAGGGGATGCTCTCTACCCAGAGAATGTGTGTATAGGATGGTCTTACTGTGGATACTGAGGCGGGCACTCCTGCCCAAGGCGGTGAGCTGGCTCCACCGTGACAGCAGAACTCCCTCTTCTGAAATGCTCCAGAACATTTTGCAATGCATCTGTTTCTCCCACGAGCCCCTGGCACGCTCATTGTGTTCCCATTCCAGGCCTGTTTGGTGCACACGAGCGAGACGATCCGAGTGTGCTACTTCTTGGAGCGGCTTATGGAGCGGCAGCGGCCGGTCATGCTGGTGGGGACCGCCGGCACCGGCAAGTCCGTGCTGGTGGGAGCTAAGCTGGCCAGCCTCAGTGCCGAGGAATACCTGGTGAAAAACGTGCCCTTCAACTACTACACCACATCGGCGATGCTGCAGGGTAAGGGGCCCAGAGGACATGGAGGAGAGGGTGGGATGTCTGAGTGTCTGGGTCACCTGACATGGAGCTGGAGCAGAGGTGAGGCACCTACTTGGCTTGATGTCCCCCGTGCCCAGCACTGTGCATCCCCTCTCACATTCTCCTTCTCTCTCCTACTTTCTCTCCTACAGCACCTCTGTCCCACTTCTCCAGCACCCTTAGCACTGCCCCTTTTCCCCATCCTCTCTCCCTACTTTCCTCCCTGGACTGCAGGTTCCTCCAGGGCTGGGAGTTCAACACAGAGCAGGTCAGCACCTTGAGGACGGAGAAAGCTGAGAACCCACTGAGAGATTCGCGTGGACTTGTAGACTTTTGACAGCAGATGTGTCTCTCGAGATCATTTCATTCTTACAGACATCTTAGAGATGGGGAAACTGAGGCTCAGGTGAAAGTACATGATTGCCCAAGGTCACCACTGAGCGGCAAGGCTGTCGTGGCACATCCAGCTTTCTGACCACGTGGGGCGTGCTTTTCACTGGGAGTTTATGCGCCCGGGTCCAGAGTGGACAGGAGCCCTCTAGGGTGTGGCTTCAGGTCAGAGGCTCACTACAGAAGGTGTTTTCCCCTCTTCCTTGACCCTTACCTACAGTAGAGTCCCCTTTTTAATAGAAACACTCAACACATTAACCCTAGAAACAGCTTCGTTTAGAGGAAGCGGCCAAGCCACCCTCCCAACAGGAGGAGGAGAGTGGCAGAGCTGGGGAGACTGCCTGCTCTTGCGTCTCATGCTGTCACAGCCCTGCTCCACTCTCTGAGACTCGGCCCGGGCTTTCCCATGTGAGACCACTGCATCCTACCCCCCAGTAGGCACGCTCTACCATAGTGAGGATTCCCTATGAGTGCTTGCCGATTGGTAAGTTACAAGCCACAGCTTCTAACATGAGAAGGGAGTCTGGTCCTTTTCCTCTCCACCTACCTCATCCAGGCCTCAGGCTGGCAGGCTTGCAAAACAGACTTCCTTTGATCACCACTTGCAGTCTGAACCATTTTACCTTCTCTGGTCCTTCTGTGGCCCCTGCCCAGTGTGAACCCCAGGGTCAACAAGCGTGGTGTTACCAGCGCTCTACTTTCTCCAATTCCATGTGAGAGAACAGCTCACTTCCCACCTTCTTTCGGCACCATTTTGCCAGCTTTTTCAGTGTGAGAGGCAAATGAGGAGCGGCACTGTCTCTGATCTCGACCTCACGTAGCAGTTAAGCACCTGATGCTTGTTGACGGAAGTCTTTGCTGTCCCCTGTCTCCCCCTCAGTGACAGAGAGACTTCTCCACCTTGGTCAAATTAGCATCTGGGCTTCATCCCCTGCTGGGCTGGTAAATGGTTCACACCTCAGTCCCAATCCAGCAATTGACAGTAGTTCCCACCGGAACCTTAACAGGTAAAACCAAGTGAAATGATGAAGACTTGTGTCAGAACTCCACTGGTTTGTCAGTGATGGGAGAATCTTCTATTTGAATACTGAAAGAAGACATCAATTTTTTTGTGCTCTGTGCAATGCTGACAGCTACAGGCATGATACCCTTTTAAGTTGAGTCTGTATTATTAAATTTTTCTCAGCATTTTCTTACGTCTACGCAATCAACAAAACAAACAAGCCCTGGTCCATATGTTTGCCAGTTTCTGCAGTGTAAGTACTCCCACCATGACCAATTTCGGGGACCGCTGCAATGTCGGTGAACATGGAGTCAGGAAGAGCTGCCCAGCAGCCCATCACTAATGGTACTTCCACTTTCCAGATGCAACAGATGACAATAACCTCATGAGCAAAGATAATGTAAAATGTGGTAGAATAATTTGGATATGATGAGTTTTGAATATTTATCACCTTTGCTTTTAAGATAATTTTCTTAACTGTAGGTTTATCTAATTTATTTTTTAAATAATGGCTGTGTTAGCAACCAGCTTTCAAAACTTTGTCAGTTTTAGCAGTCAGCTCTGAAGAGGCAGCTCCAGTAAACTGCTGGCTGCATCTTTACTCTGAGACCTCAACTACCATCGTGCCTTGCAATGTCGTAACCTTCCATCATGGCCTGGCACCATCGCATTAGTGCCCAGCAGTGGCTGTAAACAGACTTCACATGCCTGGCTGGTTCACATCTTAACACTGGTCTGCCTGACATAGCTTCTCTTTCTTGTTCGTGGAAAGATATCCCTCCACACTGATTTACAAGCCTTGAGTCCAATGACTGATCTGATTACCAGCTCTGTGCCCATTTACTCCAATTCTTAATACTGCTACAACTGCAATAATAATATTAATAATAATAATAACTGACATTTATCAAGCATTCACTAAGTACGTGTCAGGCACTCACCTGAGATTGGACTTTTACACATTTTTTAATCCTTTAATCTTGTACAGCCCTGGGAAGTGAGTAGTCGTATCATCCCCGTGTTATAGATGAGAACACCAAGGCACAGAGGAGTTAAATAAGCTCCCCTCAGCCACACAGTACGTGGTGGGGCCAGGGTTTGAACCCAGACAGTCTGACTTCAGAGCCTGTGCTCTTAACCACTAGACTACCCTTCTCCCTCGTAAGAAAATACTTCTGAAACGGCAGTAAATATTTGATATTATTACTATTATCGCTAGTATTCTAGATACTGAGTATTCTAGAGAAATTCTTCTCTAAAATCCTATTGTAATGTAAAATATACTTTCAGTAGAGAGTAAAACCTCATAGCCGAAGAGAAGGAGGTGAGCTTCCTACACTGCCCGGACCTCTCGCTCTGACTCAAGGCCCCTCACCTGGAGGACTTTCTCCATCCTTCCTGTAGGAACACAGAGAATTATTCAAAAAAGTCACAGAATGCTGTCAAACAGAGCCAGGATGAATGCTGGCTCCTCACTGCAGCTGGACATACACCAAAACACAGCAGTTTCTGCCTCTTGTTAACTCCCTAGTGGCCTCTGGGTCCCGTTCCTCCTCCAACACCAGGTGATGGATGAAGCAGCTGTCCTATATAGTCGCCCGTCCAGAATCGACTAGGAATTGGGGAGTAACCCAAAGCCCCAGAGTCGCCGGCCGGTATGTAGCAACATCCACACAGCAAAGCTCGTTCCCGTGACTCTGAAAACTGCTGAGTCCTCTTACTTTAGTCACAGTCTAAACAACTTTGATTATTTGGCTCCTTAGCCTAAAACATGTTAGAAGCAGCAAAATGGCAAGAGAAAGATCACTACCAAAAATTAGAAAGTGGGAGCCGGAAACCCAATATCCAAGAAATAGAAAACCTAAAAAAGGAATACAGGAGCTCAAAGGGTAGCTACTCCAACATCACTGTCCCACCCAACTCACGAGCCCATTGCTCTTTCTGCAGCCCAGCATTTTCATTGCTCTTTGTGCTTAAGACCCCACGTAATTAAGAAAGATTGAATGCGTTGTGGTGTAGTCTGCTTTAAATGGCAGGTAGTACACCCAGACAGATGTGCAAAATGTGTGCTTATAATGTGTCTGTACTGGCAAAAGATGGGAAATAGCCTAATTATCCATATGACAGAATGCTGAGCATTACAAAGAATGAGGAAATTCTGTATGAACTGAGTTGGAACTATTTCCAAAGCTTTGTTGAGTGAGAAAAGCAAGATACATAACCATGTATATAGTGTGTTCTAAATTGTGTCTTTTTAAAAAAGACATATATAAAAATTTACATATATATACACTCACACATCTGTGCTTTTATATATTTAGAAAATCTCCAGAAGGACACACAAGAAACTGATAACAGCAGTTGCCCCTGGCAAGGGGAACTGGATGCTAAGAGTGGAATGGAGAATTACTTACACTTTTTTTTTTAATTATGAAGTATTTCAAGCGTGCAGAAAAGTACAGAAAATAACATAACAGATGCCCTTGTACCCACCACCCAGATTTCACAGATGTTAACATTTTGTCATTTTGCTATGGATCTTAGCATTATAAGTACAGCCAACACACCACCCCCATCCCTTCCTCCTTCTTGCCCCTCACTAACCTGACTACTAAAGTTAGTTTGTATCTTTCCAAGTTTACACTTTTGATGCATGTGTGTACTCATAAGAATGCACAATGTTATTGTGTGTATTTAAATTTTAAATATACATCATACTGTAACTTCCTTTGGTAACTTACTTTTTTAATCATTGGCTGTTTTGATACATGCAGATCTGTTTCATTGGTTTTCACTACTGCGTAGAATTCCATTGTGTGAGTAAATCACAGCTCGTTTATCCCTTTTCCTCTAAGAGGCAGCATAATGTTTTAATATTTTCCCTTTAAAAACATTTTTGAGTTATAATTGACATACAATACACAATACATGTTAAAGTATATAATTTGATAAGTTTTGAAATGTTTACCCATCCATGAAACCATCACTATAATTGAAATAATGAACACATCCTTCACCTCCGAAAGCTCCTCGCATCCCTCGGGAATCCCCTCTCTGTGCCGTCCCTCCCCACCGTGCCCTGTGCCTAGGCGACAGTTGATTTCTTTCTCTCCCAACAGGCTAGTTGGCATTTCCTAGAATTTTATATAGTAGTATCATACAGTATGCACTCTTCTTTGTCTGGCTTCTTTCACTCAGCATGATTTTGAGATTTATCCATGGTGTTGAGTGTATCAATAGGCCATTCTTTTCATTCCTGAATAGCAAAATAAAATAGGTAAAACACTCGAATGATTCCCAGCACACAGTAAGTGCTTAGTAAATGGAAGCTGTTCTTATAACCATATTAAAATCCTTCTCAAATTTAAGAATCTATAAACATTATACAATAATTTCTAAGCCCCAACTGCCAAAACAAAAGGAACAGAAGCAAACCTCTTTTGCTTGAAAAGGGAATTTAACATAAACTATGCTAAACAACAAAAATAATATTTTTGGAAGAAATGTTCCGACTTTCAAATGGGCAATAACTCCACCCAGCAGGTCAATTCATCGAGGTCTCCAGGGGGCTATCTTGCAGCTCACTCAT